CCGTTTTATCTTATGAAGGCCTGTGAGGTCAAACAGCCAGTACTTGGTGCCAACTACATCAAGGGAATGATCAGCGCCGAGCCTGGAGGTAAAACACCTCGAATTCGAATAATGCAAATAATTGCAACTGATTCAATAAATTTACTTTCATATCATGTAATTAATTCAAAACAATTGACACGTCTTTATATTACACAATATTGGTGTTAATATAATAATACATATTTTATTAAAAAAAAATATATATATACTGTATATTATGCATTCATGTTAAAAAACACAGTATTATGGGTGTTCAATTTTGAATTTCATGTTAACATGTTCAGCTTCAAATAAAAGTACTCAGATCTGAATCAAGACCCTCCTTGAGTTTTCATTTGAATAGTCTGGTCCTTGGAAGAAAGTATATGAAGAGTCCAGGTTTAGTGTAATCTGAACATCAAAAGGGAAGAGACAATGTACTCGTAGTAATAAAGTTTACTGAAGAGTGTTTCCATCACTGCTGCAGGTGGTTGGGAAGGTTCTGCAACCTTCAAGTTGATTTTTATTGCGGGAGGAGCGATTGAGTTTGGACAGTACATGCTACAGGTGGCGGCACAGGGTACGTTTTAAAAGTAACATCATTTGATTTAAAAAGAAATGTTTTAGCATCAGGTTGTTGATTTGATGTGGAAGCATTACCTTCAGTCTCTCTCATTCATTTCAGCATCCAGAGGGCAACCGGTGACTGTAAATTACGGTTGTCCTTACATGGCGAACAGGGCGTACGCTTACCCTCCACCTCCTCCCGCTAACGGCATGTATTCGGCCACACCTCCTCCTCCTGGATACGCCTACCCTGGACCTCCACCTCCAGGTTATAACACAACATATTATGTCCAAAATAGTGCAGAGTAAACGATGTACTGACATTTAAACTTGCATTCAAACACTAAACTGCTGTTATTTGGAGCAGTCGTAGCCTAATGGTTAGAGAGTCGAACTTGTAACCCAAAGGTTGCGGGTTCGAGTCTCGGTACCGGCAGGGATTGTAGGTGGGGGGAGTGAATGATCAACGCTCTCTTTCTTCCTCCCAAAGGAAAAAATGGCTGCCCTCTGCTCCGGGTGTGTGTTCATTACTCACTGCTGTGTGTGTGTGTGTGTACTTGGATGAGTTAAATGCAGAGCACAAATTCCGCGTATGGGACACCACACTTGGCCACACTTTCACTTATTTGTGTCCTGTAGGTGGATTTTACCCCATCCCTCCTGGCTTTGATGGACCAGCAGCCTACATGCCTCCTCCGCCGTATATAGCTCCGATGAACCACGCTCCTCCGGACCCAGACCTGCCCAGAACCCCCGCAGGTATGAGCCACTACTGTACTCCTTTATAGTTCAAGACGTCACTCCTGTCTTAAATTGATTGTGTTTGTTGTTCTAGCGGAGGCAAAAGCAGCTGAAGCTGCAGCGAGTTCCAGCGCGACTACGTTTGCTCCGACACGGGTCTACCTGCCCGAGGTGAGTTAACCAACTAAGGCTGGTCCCCACTGACTTCCATAGTATGAAGAAAAAAAAAAAAAAACACTATGCAAGTCAGTGGGGACCAGCAACTGAAGGTGAACTATCCCTTTAAATCTGTCTTTGAAAACAAAAGACTTCCGGAAGCTTAGTCACAGCAAATCAAATGCGAACGCCCCTTTACTGCACATTCCACCAAATGCATACCGTAGGGGGCTCTGGCCAATGTAGAGGGACCAGAGAGAGACACACATGAATTCATAGCTGGTGAATGAGAGGGACCGACTGTTAGCTGATTGAGCTTTTCTAAATTTGAAAAATAGTCCATTTAGGAGACATTTATGAGTGATTTTGTATAGATCGATTGAACGAGGTTTGAAGTATTTTGATAGTTGCATAAGAGTTTTGGACAGTGCTTCGGCCGTTGTTCATTCTCGACTGCTGCATCCAACGTTATTAAATGAAAGATTGTTGGCTGTCACTGCTCACTTGTTACAAACTGGAATCATGGAGGAATATCCGATAATGTCCACTTCGCAGGGCACTTACAGTCAAATATAACAAACGTCTGAAGCAATAAGAGAAACATACAAAATGTGCAGAGCGGGGGTACGCGAGGACTGGAATTGAGAACCGCTGCCTTAAAGGATTTAAAATTTGCTGAAAGAGTACTCAGCCTCAGGCCATCCAAGATGTAGATGAGTTTGTTTCTTCATCAGATTTGGAGAAATGTAGCATTACATGACTGTCTCACCAATGGATCCTCTAGTCCATAATCCATAATAACGCTTCCTCCAGTGAAAAAGTCCATCAAAATCCACCCACATATTTGTCTAGAGCTGTTTTGGCTTGTAAACGGTGCTTGATCTGTATATATTTCTCTCCTAATTCAGACAAGATGACTTTTTCACTCTAGAAAGCAATATTATGAATAGAGGACTCATATTTTAGCCGGAAGCAACGGTTTTTATCAGCTGTTTGGACTCTCATTCTGACGGCACCCATTCACTGTAGAGGATCCACTGGTGAGACAGTCATGTGATGCTACATTTCTTCAAATCTGATGAAGAAACAAACTCATCTACATCTTGGACGGCCTGAGGGTGTGTATATTTACATTTTTTGGTGAACTATTCCTTTAACTAAAACCTTTATGTGCTGCAAATCTGTTTTATACAACAGTTAGTTCTGGTTCTTGATTCTGATTGGACAGGCTGTTAGTCTGTTGTTGCTCGGCAACATGCAGTGGTTGATTCCACTTTGGCTTCTTTTGCAATCATTTTCATTGCCAGAGCAAAAAAAGCAATCAAATTAACTGAGCATTGTGTAAAATCACCTTCACAAACACTACATGTTGTATATTCTGATGAAGCGTGTTTCAGACGTGTTCTGCAGCAGTGTGTACTAGTCTTGGCATCTCTGAAGCATGCAGCAGCAGTTAAGACTAAAGATGCACTTTAACCCCACATGCACCTTCAGTCTCCTGGACAGCGTTTGTTGATTCTATTTTTCCCTAATTTATTTAATTATACAATTAATCAGTTACGCATGGTCTTCACTGCATTGTCTTATTTAAAGTGTATTTTATTAAAGTAAACCTGTACAAGTGGAACGATGCATTTCATTTATGGACGTTTTGTGTTCATCATTCATGTACATGATGAACAGGGTTTCAAAAGCAGACAAACATCAAGATGAGTTCACATTCATTGATAAAAGTCTCTCAGGAGATACAGACACAATTCGAAATGACTTCATTATTCCCAAAGAATGTGCTTTTCCAGTTGTCCCTTCACTCTTGCAGCTGTGATTGCTTGTGCAAATTAAATTGCTTTTCTAAAAATCAAACAATCTCCCAATATTAGGTACAGTTCCACCTGCTACTCTTTAGTGCATAAAATCAGCTCAAAGAAGTGAGCTCAGACCTCAAGTATGCTATAAAAGAATGGATTTCATATAATTATGATCCCATATTCAGATATAACACACACAGTGTTCAAACTTTCAATGGCTCTTTATAGAAAGGCTATCGTTCAGAATAGCATACTAATTCTATATTTGCAGTATGCATTATTTATACTGTGCACAGTATGCAAAAAAAAAAGTGCAGAGGAAGCCTGTTTCTGCCACAGGATAAAAAAATAAAAAGGGTAATTGTGACTTTTTTAAATCACAATTCAGAAAAAAAGCGAAAAAAATCGCAACATATAAATTCAGAATTATTAGAAAAAAAATTCAATTTTCAATTCAAAGTTTCAATTGCGAGGAAAAAAAGGTATAAATTCGGATTTTTTTTCTCACAATTGCTAGTTTTAGATCTCACAATTCTAACTTTTTTGACCTATAATGTGACATGCTCAACTTTCCAATTAAAAAGTGATGAAGCAACCAGGAGGAATATCAGCTTTGATTGTTTTTAATATCTCCCTCTTGACTGGTTTGATTAGACTAATTGGACCAAATTCGACTAAAAAATGCAATCATTTGTTTGATAACTGGACTTCACTTGCTAAATTAAATAATAAACCTACTATAGCAAGCAAAGCATTACTATTGCATAAAAATAGTGTTTAGTAGGCCTAAATGATACATATTGTGAAGTATGCAAGTAAGCTATTCTGAACACAACCAATGATAATGAAATTAGAGTTTATGACTAGAGTTTTAGAGTATGAAATTTAATTTCATAATCACAGATGTCAATATCTGAAGTGTTAAAAGATCAATTTGATGGACACATCATCCACGATGTAGTTACACTCTGTAAAAATAAACAAAATGCTACTAAAACTGATACAGTAGAAATACGTAAAAATACAAATCACTATAACAAGAATCCAACAGCACAGGAAAACAGAAGACGGAAATGAACACAACATAACTGTTTGTACTTTAAAACTGCCGGCGAACAGGTCTGTTTCTGAATATTTAAAAACTAGAAATGGGAATCATATACTAGAGTGGATACAGCAGAAAATAATTTTGATCTCACTCAAAAACAACATAAAAACGAAATAATGCACAGCTGGCCCTCAATGCAAACTCTTCAAAACTTCTTAAAAGTTCATGTAACCTGCTATCATTTGGCCACAGGAAAGAATGGCAAAGTTTAGGACAGAAACACACTTTATGAAGTACACAAACACAGATGTTCTGTGTGTGTGTGTGTTTTGGAATAGTTATTGAAAGACGTCTCTTCTGCTCATCAAGGCTGCATTTATTTGATCAAAAATACAGCAAAAACAATAAAAATAGTTAAATATTATTACAATTTAAAATAACTTTTATATTTGAATTTATATTAAAATGTAATTTATTCCTGTGATCAAAGCTGAATTTTCAGCATCATTACTCCAGTCTTCAGTGTCACATGATCCTTCAGAAATCATTCTCATATACTGATTAATATGAATGTACGAAATATATTTAAAAATAATTATTTTAAATTGTAATATTTCACAACATTCAAATCAATGCAGAATTTGTGAGCATAACAGACTTCTTTTAAAACATTATTTTTCATTTTAAATACTTGCAATGAATATTTCACTACATATTTCACTTAAGTGTGAGCATCTGCGTCTACATACTTGCGTGAAGTATGTTTCAGCCCTTACACAATTATCAGATCAACAGATCAACCCGAACCATCCCAGAGTAGATACTGAGCTCGTCAAATCTCACCACCGCTCAAAAACACCAGGAGTAAATGATGGCAAAGGAAGGCCACACGTCTCAGGTTCAGCTACAGTAGGGATGATGCATCTATTTCCCCAGGATCAAACCTTTTCATGCTCGCGGTTCACAGAGTGTAATGGTGACGCCCTCTCCTATCCAGCAGGCCGGTAGCAGTGCTTGTGTAAAGGCGCAGTGGAAGGCGTGCAGCCGGACCTGTCCCTCGGCGTAGTACGTCAGCGTCCCGGCCTCGTAGTCCAGCAGCATCCCGATGCGCAGCGGCTGAGCATTCGGCTGCAGCTGGCCGGCGACGGACTCCTTGCAGCCGGCGTGCCACGCGCTCAGCTGCCGCTCATCCAGCTGCAGGCTCCACGACAGCTCGTTCATCCCCACCATGCAGCGCTTGCCCTTCTCCTTGCGCGGGATGTTCGGGTACGTCACGCCCACATAGGCCCACGGTTTGGACACCTCCAGCTCCCAGTAGTGCTGGCCGTGAGTGAAGCTCTGGAAACACAACACCTGCCAGGTGTGGTCGAAGCGGGACTCGTCGGCCGGGACGGGGCGGGGCCCCGATGTCAGATGCTCCGCCCTCCTGTTGCTCTGGGAGAGCCGTAAGTGAGCATTGGCGGTGCGAGGGTCAAAGGTCAGGTTGCAACGGTCTGGATGAAGAGAAGAATTGCAACATATGAGAATAATAAACTACTGATGGCTCTAAAGCATTGTAGTATCCTGTGATGATATGATATGAGCGTACATGCGTTCAGTCCCTCCATCTCTGCTGGATATGATGGTGTTGCAGGACTGGGAACAACAGCCAGAACTGGCCTCTTATCTTGAGGAGAGCCTACGAGAAACAACGAAAAAAGGATTTTTAGAAAAAATAAATAAATAAAAAGAGTAAAAACAGTATTTTAAATAATTATCATTTATTTATAAAACTGTTCCCTTGCAAAGTTCATGATTGGTTAAATAAAATATGTAATTGACAGGACTATGGCATAAGTACCATAATATATATATATATTTGAAAAGTGTGTATTTAAAAAATATTTAGAATAAAATATATAATAAGTAAATAATAATTGTTTATGTTATTTTAAATATATTTTAAATACATCTTTTTTTAGCATCACTTTTTCATAAAAATGCGTATATTGTTATCCACCAAGATTTTTTTTTAAATATTGTGATATTCATTTTTTGCTTATATTACCCACCCATCGTTTGGCATAATCTTTGATAGTTTTATTTGTTGTGTTTGCATTCCATTTATGGGCAGTTTTTTTTTTTCTGAAATGGATTATACATTACATAAATTAATAGACTAGTGTAGGAAAAAATATTCAAATAATGGTTGCACAGAAAATATGGCGGAAAACATAAAACATGCTTGACAGATATGGATGAAACAATATTTTTAGACCAAAAAATGTACATAAAATTGTATTTTAAATAAATTTGTATTTGTATTACTGTTTTAAACTTAATTACTATACCTTATGATACTTTATTGTTATTTTGCAACATTTATGACAGTTTATATAAATAAATACATTTACATTTATCAAAATAGTGATAGGTCTACCATACTATTACTTTGAAAATTGTCATAAGGACCATTATCTTTTTGTACATTTTTGTTATTACCATGCTTTCATCAAATGGAGTATATATTGACATTGCCCACTCCTAGATTGGTATAATCGGTTGTTCTTTATAAAGTGATTTATAAAAGTCTTTATAAAGTGTTTTTGGGTGTGTGTTTATGTTTCATTTAGGAGCAGGTGTATCTGAATTGGATTATACATTACACTAATTAACAGACTGCTGTGAAAAAAAATATTCAAAAAATGGCAGAAAATGTGTGTACAACTTCAGTCCATCCTAAAATAACAAGCACTGATTATTTTTCACAGTAAATATTTGATACCACAAATCTGACTAAATTTGGCAAATCCAGTGATTGACCTCAAACACTCAGCACCTTGCAAACATAACTTTGTTTACTGGCTGACTGATAAAAGAAATCTATGTGTCCTGACTCATGGAAATTTTAAAAAATGCAGATAATTAGACTGAAACAGGTGATTTCAGACAGCCATTTTTGTGTGCATTTAGCGTCAGACGGTCAGTGAACAGACTGTGATCATTCCTCACCCTCTTTATCCTGTCCTCCGGACACCTGTACGGCTCTCTCCAGATCCTCACACACCAGCTTGGACACGCGGGACAGGACGTCTGTGATGGGCGTCAGCTTCTCCTGAACGCTCACATGCACATCCACAGGAACGTCACTGAAGCGTGGGACCTTTATGAACCTGGAGTCCTGCATCAGCACACAAACATGAGCACAGACACAAATCAGACCTATTCACATCTGTGACAACATTAACAATAAACTCTAAAACAATCATATCAAAATTAATAGTTAATATGATTATAAATTAATATCACTATAATAACAATAGTAATACTTTACCAACCAAAACAATCTTAGTAGCATCAACAAACATTTTTTTCTATATAACAGCATGAATTAATGTTAAAATAATTAATAAAAAAAAAAAATGAAGCCAGTTTTATTTATTTATTTAATAAATTTTTTTGTGTGTGGTGCACATTTCTAAAAAAAAAATAATAATAATAATTTAAAAATTACAAATATAAATTAAATTAAATAATATCAAAAATTAAATTAAATTAAATTAAATTATTAAATTAAATTAAATTAAATTAAATTAAATTAAATCAAATCAAATCTTGCTGAAACCTTGATGAGCTGGCAGGGAGGGAGGGAACACAGGCTGCTGATCTCCTCCTGAAGGGCTGTGAGCTGCATCGCTCTCTCCTCCAGCACAGCCAGCCTCTCCTGAGCCTGCAACAGTGTCACTTCCTGATGCTGCTCCAGAAAAAGCTGTGTCACCTCCTGTTTCTCTGCCAACACTTTTATCAGCTGTGAGAACTTGGTGTTCACCCACTGAGACGTCTGCTGTAGTGATACCTGACAGAGCAGAGAGAGAACAACAAGCTAAAACACACACGCCATGAGCAGTGATGCTACTGCTTTCTAATTCAGTATGCATCCTTTAAGACTATTCCCTCATATACACTGCCTGGCCAAAAAAAAAGTCACCGTTTGGATTTAAATAAACAAATACTTAAGATTTTAGGATTGAGGCCTGGCAGTGGATTAATGTGTGAATCAGTTTGTGTAGATTTAGTCTAAAAAAATGCCAAACAGCACTGGGTCCTGCATGTCTTTGCATGTTTAAACTGAATAAGATCCCAGCCATCTGGCAGAATGGAAGCGTTTATTAAATATCGATCAGTAGTAGTATCGATTACCGTATGATCATTTTATGGTGATTTTAGTCCTTATTTGTGCATGACAGCTCTTGTCTGCTTTCATTTTATGAAAAAGAGCAATGTGGATATTCCTCAAAATGTCTCCTTTTGTTGTCCATGGATGAAATAATGTTGTTAACACTTTACATTAAGGTCCCATTAGTTAACGTTAGTTACTGCATTAACTAACAATGAGCAATATATTTGTTACTGTATTTATTAATTTTTTGTTAACGTTAGTTAATAGAAATACATACGTATTGTTATATTACATTATAATACATATAATTATGTATTATTATATATTGTATGTTAGTGTATTGTGTATTACATATTGTTCTTTTTTTATTGTAAAGTGTCACTATAATGTCACATGGGTTTGAATATATATGACATATATTTATTTTTGTATAAAGTCCCTAATGAAGCGGGTAATGATGCTGTCTTGCCTTCACTTTCTCCATGTTCTCCATCAGCTCCAGGCGGTTTCTCTCAGCGCTTTCCTGGTGTTTCTTGAATTCTGCACTCTTTTTCTTCAATCCTGCCTGCACAGAAAAATTATAAGAATATTAATGTTGTGCTAAGTACAAACATTTTCCTACAAATTCTTTAAAAAAGTCAGCAATGACATACAGGTAGAATCTCACAAAACCAGTCAATATATTTCACTATAAAATTAAGAAATATATGTATGTATATTGCTCTTGGACAGAAGCCCACCATTCAGGATTATTTTTTACTAATGAGCACACAAGGCTTCCCCCCCAAGTGGTTACTCTTACTTTTGGAGAGAAAAACATTATCAAGATTGTGATGCAGAATCTATGTAAATATATATATATATATATATATATATATATATATTGCATAAAGAAAATTAATGGACATTTGAAAAACTGAAAAATTAAACATTTTCATCTCAAATTCTCATTACTATAATGCAAAAATAATGATATACTATTTAAACTATACAGCATTTGTATGTCAAATACAATATTACCTCTCTATTCTTCCGTTCTTCTTCCACCAAAATCTTATCATGGCCCTTGCACTCGTTCACAGAGCACTCATAACAAACACACATGCTGTCGTTCCTGCAGTAGATGACCAGAGGCTTCTGGTGCCGCTCACAGATCTGCTCTGGCTCCGGATCCGTGTGGACGGAGGCTCCTGCACTCACATCTGTCTTGGCTGGACTGTGTGTGGCGGGCATCTCCGTTATCATCGACAGAGACACGTTGCGATTCAGCTCAGGCCTTGTGTCAAAGGAATTTTTACAAAAAGGACAGTGGAAGTCTTTGTGCATGCCATCCCAGAATTTGGAGATGCAGGCCTTGCAGAAGGTGTGACCGCATGGGATTGTCACGGGGCATTTAAATAGATCCAAGCAGATCGTGCACTGCATATGATCATCCATCATAAATCTGGAAACCTGAAAGTACAAAATACATGATGCAACAACGTTAATGTCAATGAAAACCACTATTGGGGCATGTTGTCACAGACAGACACATACGATAGACGGATGGACGGACGGACGGACGGACGGACGGACGGACAGACAGACAGACAGACA